CATTCTGCAATACATGTGAACAGTCCTCCAGACCAGTCACTGCTTCTTTGTCTAACCTAGTCTATACTATTGTTGTTGTGAGCATAAAAGGCAAGAGGGGAGAATGATTTTGTAATGTACTTTAGTTCCCTATTTGGAAGGAGAGGGTTATCCCTTCAAGACTGGAGTATACATGAATAAATAAATAAATAAATAAATAAATAAATAAATAAATAAATGTTCTCACATATATCTTCATTTAGGTTCTTCAACACCCTTTAAGCACTTAGAAAAGTTCGTATAAGTTTTAATACCACTCATTGCATTGATAGACTTTGTACACACTACTTCCTACACCCTGGAATACATGTTCTCATTTTACCTCCTTCTTTCTTCCATAAAGGCCAATGGTGATTTCCAGTGCCTTTTTATTTGGTTAGGCCTTTATGAAGAATGAGGCTATTATGCTGAATGTTCTCCCTCATATGTGTCCAATCAGAGGTCCTTTTGTGGACTTAGGAAGAGATGTGAAAAAGCCTACCTTCCTGGCATCTATATTCTCAGTTAGCAACAAAAGGAAGGGCTGGACTTGGGGAGTTTCAGGGAAGGGGTTAGAATGGGTGGCATTTACGTATATTCTTAACTTCACATTGTATTATCTTGACCAGTCATGTAAATCTGCTAAACATTTATGTTTACTTCAGGCTGGTATCTACTACATTCCTTAAAGAAACAGAAAAGAGATTTTGTTGTCTTTAATGGTAGCCCATCCTAAATACTACACTGGGCCCACTCTGTCATTTCCATGGACACAGTGTAAGTATAAATCATAGAATCATAGAGTTGGAAGGGGCCATACAGACCATCTAGTCCAACCCCCAGCCCAATGCAGGACCAGCCTTTTGTGGACTTGGGAAATCTGACAAATATTCGTCCAGCCTCTTCTTGAAAGTTGTCAGTGATGGGGAGCTAACCACCTTTTTAGGCAGCTGATTCCACCTTTGAACTACTCTGATCATGAAATTTCCCCCCTAATATTCAGCCGATACCTTTCTGCATGTAATTTAAACCTGTTGCTTTGGATCCTATCCTCTGCTGCCAACTGGAACAGCTCCTTGCCCTCCTCCAAATGACAGCCTTTCAAATATTTTAAAAAAGAGCAGTCATGTCCCCCCTCAATCTCCTCTTCTCCAAACTAAACATTCCGAAGGCCCTTAGCCTTTCCTCGTAGGGCTCAGTCTCCAGACCCCTGATCATCCAGGTCGCTCTCTTGTGCATCCTCTCGATTTTGTCCACATCCTTTTTGAAGTGATGCCTCCAGAACTGTAATCTCACCCAGAGATACACATTACAGAGAGTCTTTAGAGAGCCAGTTTGGTGCAGTGGTTAAGTGTGTGGACTCTAATCTGGGAGAACCAGGTTTGATTCCCCACTCCTCCACTTGCACCTGCTGATGTGACCTTGGGTCAGTCACAAGCTCCGGCACAGCTGTCCTTGAAAAAGAGCAGTTTGTGTCCAAGTTCTCTCAGCCCCACCCACCTCACAGGGTGTCTGTTGTAGGGAGGGGAAGGGAAAGGAGTTTGTAAGCCGCTCTGAGACTCCAAGTGAAGGTCGGGGTATAAACCCAATCTCTTCTTCTTCTCCTCTCTTCTTTAATTTATTCTGCTAACTAGCAGCTCCTTCTTGTTCAGCTCAGGCTTTAGCAGAATAATGTAGCATTTAGGGGGAAAGATACATGCCTATCATGCCATGTCCCGTGGAATAGTCTTGCTACAAAGACTGTGAGAATCCCTGCAAGTTGTTGGTACTTCACAGTATAAAGCCAGTCACTTGGCACAGGAGGTCTGATGTGGCTTTATGGCTTAAATTCTTGATACCATTTAATGAGATTTCTGACTGGAAGGGGGAATCAATTTTAGAGGCCAAACTGCAGGCCCCTTCTGAAGCTTCCAGCAGGCATGGATTGGCTTTGTATCTGCTGGGTACTTAGTGAGTTTAGGGTTGGTCTGAGGGTTAGAGTTGCTCCCCATAGTGATAGCAGCTCACATCTGGGTGAGACTCTGTTTTGGTGTGGTAAAATACCAGCAGCCCTGGCCCTGGTTGCCCAGACAGCTCAGTCTGATTGTATCTGAAAAGCTAGGCAGGGTTGGCTTTGGTTACTACTTGGAAGGGAGACCACAAAGAAATCCCAGGGTTTCTCACACTAGCTGTTTGTCTTTTGCTTTGAAAACCCTATACAGGCCACATAAATTGGCTGCAATGTGATGGCACTTTCAACCACTCACAGGACAGTGGTTCAGTTTCCAGCTTCCAAGTCTGTTAGAATTATGAGGCTACCTACTGCATTTATTCTTCAGTGTTTATATAGCGATATTTTGTTTACTGGTAGAATTGATGGTGCATGATCATGTTCTTAGGGTGCCAGCTTTCAGGAACTGGCACCTGATACAGAGAAAGGTCCAGGATCGATGTCAGTATGACTTCTGTGGAACCTTGGCATTGGGAAGCTCACAGAGTAGTGGGGACATCTTAACAACAGGCACGTGGGGATTGTATAGTAGGAGCACCTGGGAGTCCCATGGTTTGAGCAAGTTGGTAGGATTAGTAGATGATTTCTGCAACTCTTCGCAGATCTGAATGGTTAGGGTCTTTTGATTAATAACAAGATGACAAGATACTCAATGATCCCCCCTCTCAGTTGCTGGAGTGACACATAAGGGGAGGGAGAGGAAAGCTAAATGTTTTCTGGACTCTGTTTTCTGTTCAGGTAAGGATAAATTAAGCCAGCTGTAATACAGGCTAAGTTTGGCACCAGAGCTGGTTTCTCTCCAACACTGGCATCCATGGTAGAAGCAACTTGTACTATGTTAGGGATGGGAGTCAACCATTAATAAAATTGGTAATTAATACATAGGTGTTCTGTGGCCTTATTTGGGGGTTCTAATAAAACTGCAATGTATTTCGCTACTCCAAATGGTTTAGGAAAGGCAGAATGCATATGTCCTTTCTCTTGTTCCCCATCCCGTTTGTTTCTTCATTGCACAGTCTGCATTTCTTGCTGGCCAGCATTCAAAAAGAGAAACTTGAATGCCCTCCTTGCTAGTTGTGCTAGTGAAGAATAGAAGAAACTCATAGTTATATCTGGGGGGGGGGGAGTTTCTTCCATAGCATCACAATAATCTACACTCTGCAAGAGATAATTATCTCCCCCGCCTGCAATTATCCCGATTGGTGAATTTTGTTAACTGATCAAAGCTCTGGTGAGTTTCAACTAGGCACCAGAAAACCCTAAAGAAATAAGTCTGGAAGTGCTTATAAGAAACTTCCTTTGCCACAGAAAGCTAGGAAGAGGGAAGGCAGGACCCCAGCAACCTGATTTAGCACATTTTGTTGTTGATCGGAATGTGTGCAACCCCAGCCAGATTTGGAGGCATGATTTTTGCCTGTGCCAAGCCTCGATATAAAGCGGATAAATTTCTCATCCTCTCTCCAAGCTCGCCCATTATTTGATGGGCACAGGAAAGGCTGAATCCTGAGAGAAGCTGTGTCACCAGCATCATGAGACTGGGCGTGTTACTCACTTGGCTGTCACACATGATAAAAAATGTGGTTACTGTGCAGAGCCTTGTGAAGGATCCCCTCTCTGGCCCATATGAGCAGTACCAGTCAGGGGACCTCCTCATTGGTGGCATTGTTTCTCAGATCTCTCCATACCTTCACTCATTGTGTTTCAGAGAATGGCCTCCAGAAGATTTGCTTAAGGTTCCAGAGTAAGGTTTTATTTTTTTTATTTTTTCTGAATCATGTGAGAATGTCACAAAGTTTTAAATGCTTTAAGGAATTGTTGAATTGCTTAAAGGAATAGCTTGCTGGCTTACTCCACTCCACATTTTTTTTCTTCCTTCCCAAATGTCTGTCCATTCTGTTCTGTTGGTAGTGGATATGGGTTTTCTTCTCCCATAAAGTAATGCTTTCAATATTTTGGAAAGTAAGGGTGGAGAGAAGAGTGATACACTAATGGTGCTAAACAATGACAAAGGTGGCAGGTGGAGTGTTCGTAGAGACTGGTAGAGAATGGAAGTCATAAAAATGTGTCCCTTTACTGAGGCTATCACATTCTGGGGCACATCGTGACTCACTGGAAAGGATGGTAAGGAATATTTGAAGGCAGTGGGGAAAGAGGAAGGCAGAACATGAGATGGATTGATACAATAAAGGCAGCCCCAGTGCTCGGTTTGCAAGATTTGAGCCAGGTTCTTAATGACACAGCATTCTGGAGGTCATTAATTCATACGGTTGCCGTAAATCGGAAGTGACTTGATGCCAGATAGCACACCCTCCATGCTAAAGATATTATGAATCACCCAGGACCTTTCCTGCACAGTGGTTATGTATGTAATTTAATACCATGTATGAGAGAGAGAGAGAAAAGACTTCATGTTTGTTGCTTATAAAATCTGTAAGTAACAGATAGACAGCAGAAAAGTGACAGCAGAAATATCAAACATAAGATTAATTCAGTGTGGGGTTCCCCTAAGGCATTTAGGTTGGTCTTTGTTCTGCTGTGAGATTCTGAAGATTCAGACTACAAGGGCTGGGTGGGAGTAGCTGGCAATCCAAGAACTGAGAATTGAAGACCACCCCAGGATACACACCTGTTTTCCTAATTTAGAAAAAGAAAATCACCAAAAACTTAAGTGACATCCTAAAGGTTAATATGTTTTTACAGGCTATACACATATCAACATAATGGGTAAATGAATGCAACTTAAATATATGGGAGGGGATATTGTTTTATACATTATAAATGAACCCAAAAGGGTATCCATAATATTCTAAACAGACCACAGATACTGGTGTACTAACACATTTTAAAAGACGATTTGACTAAAGAGCATGCTCTTAGCATCAGCAATAACAAAAAAGGTGTACATGTAGACATCAAAACCAGTGTTATGATAAAAATGACATGCTGCAGTGTAGCGTTCACCTAAGAAATCACATCAATCTCTTTCTAAAGGATGGTGACCAAGTTCTACCAGCATGTCCTAACTTTGGTGTTTGCAACGAAGGAGATCAATGAGAATCTCAGCATCTTGACCAATGTCACTCTTGGTTTCCACATCTGCGACAGCTACTACAATGCAAGGATGACCTATCACAGCACCCTGGACCTGCTCTTCAAATCAAATGTATATGTCCCTAATTACAAATGTGGTAAACAGAAAAACTTAATGGCCGTCATTGGGGGACTCAGTGCTGATATCTCCTTCTACATGGCAGACATCTTAGGTCTCTACAAAATCCCACAGGTAAAGATCCATGCATGGAGAATCCATGCAAAGAAATGCCACTGCCTTCTTTCTTGGACATTCTTTGTTTCTAGTAGAGAATAAATCATGACTGACAGAAAGGTCTCCATGATATTTCATCAAGTAAGCCAAAAGGAAATTTACTTCATAAGGGAGTAAAGTATGGAGTAATATAGGGATCAGTTAGCAGATTCTTTTTTTCATTTCAAAGGGATTTTGTCAAAAAAAAAAAATCGACCACCACGGGTGCTGGTAGGCAGTCCCACCCCGTACAAATGTGGCCCTAGTTAGGGAGTAATGTGACTAGCATCCTCTCTGTAAACCACACAGAGACCTCCAACGGGGATTAGGGTGGTATAAGAAATTGAAGATATAAATAAATAAATAATTGCATAAACAGGCATATCTATAAGGGGACTCTTTTTTAAAGGGGGGGAAATGTAAGATCCAAGTCCAATAGCACCTTAAAGAGCACCATGCTTTCCACAGTAGAGGCTTTTGAAAGTAGTTTATACCCTGGAAATCTTTTTTTTGGTCTCTAAGGTGCTGTTGGATGAATTTTGATGTTCTATTGAAGACCATCATGGCTACCTCCTGAAATTATCTGTTTATTTCCTTTAAGCTCACATATGGCTCATTTGCTCCAGAGGATGCAACAGACGTCCCTTCCTTTTACCGCACGGTGCCAAATGAAGCCCATCAGAATATGGGGATTGTGCAGTTGCTTCTCCACTTCAGATGGACGTGGGTTGGGCTTCTTATTGTAGATGAGGACAGTGGAGAACATTTCTTGAAGACCCTGGAACCACTGCTTGCTCAGAATGGCATCTGTTTGGCATTCACAGGAAGAATCCCAAAGCAAAGCAATTGGGATGAAATGTCAGAGAGTTTTGATCTTTTCAGAAACAGATATCAACATTTCATAGACAGTAAAATAAATACAGTAATTCTATATGGAGGACCTATGGCCATAATATCATTGACCACTGCAATGCTTTTTGAAGATTCTGCATATGAGGAAAGTGTATCAATTAGAACAGTGTGGATTTTGACAGCCCAAGTTGATTATGTACTAACCAGCCTTCAAAGGATCTTCAGTTTCAACTTCTTCAACAATATCCTGTCTTTCACAGTTCACTCTCATAAGGTTCTTGGGTTCCAGAAATTCCTTCAGATTGTAAAACCTGATTCCACACAGGAAGATGGCTTTCTCGGGTGTTTCTGGGAACAAGCATTTCACTGTTCATTTCCAAATTCCAAGGAGCCAATGAAAGATAATTCCACATGTACTGGGGAGGAGAGGCTGGAGAGCCTTCCTGGTTCTATTTTTGAAATGCATATGACTGGCCACAGCTATAGCATCTACAATGCCGCCTATGCCATAGCACATGCTTTGCATGCCATGGTTTCATCCAGATACCATTGCAGAACAATGGTGGGTGGCAAAAGAATTGACCTTCAAGGTCTCCAGCCTTGGCAGGTACTGTCTCCATAATAAAATGTCACCATTACCCTTCATATCATATCAACCTGTATTTGGATCCTGAAAGAAAGTCAAGCTTACATTTCCATCTTTTATCGTTGTAGTAGATCAGGCTTTTGAGGGTGGTCTGGAAGGAAACAAATAGATATGTTTGAAGGAAAGATGTTCCAGAACCTCGGCTGCAATCATACGCACAGTTAGACCCAACATAGGTGCAAAGGCTGGGCAGATTTAAAGGGCCCAATCAGACAGCAACATCTGGGAAGTGTCCCGCAGTCATCGGTGATCCGTGCTGCTCTGCCACAGAAGCGGTCTAAAAAGACACCAGAGAAAATCCGGTTCTAAACGGGTTGTGACAGGCTACAGACGGACATTCCCTTGTCTGATCTTACAAGCGTGCACTCAATTCAAGTCAAGTCAAGTCAGCCTTTATTGGCATAAAACATCAGTAAACAAGCGTGCACTCATGCCATTGGCATGGTCTGATCAGGACATCCCGGCTCAGTGCCATTCCGCCCCCCCTCGCAGTATGCACATCATTGCATACCCATTGGGGGCCCTAAGTGCAGAGGTGCGATTCCTTGTTTATGCACATGGGAAACAAATGGTAAAAAAAAAACCAACTCACCCACAGTTGCATCTAATCACACAGTGACGGGCTGTGCCTGCTGTTACAACGGGCTGTGTGATCTCACAACTGCGGGTCGATTTACTCTGGAGGGAATAGCCTCACTCCCTCCCCCCACTTCATCTGGCATGTGTGACCACAACCTTCAGCTTGTAAACTTCTCTATGTTCTTACTTCTATTCTATTCTATTCTATTCTATTCTATTCTATTCTATTCTATTCTATTCTATTCTATTTTATTCTAAACCACCAAGAAAGACTCTGAAGAGGACTGCAATGGCAAACCACTTCTGCTTCTCACTTGCCGTGAAAGCCCCTTGCTGCAGTCTCCATAAGTCATTTGTGACTTGCTGGCACTTATGTATGTAGTATTTCTTCAAAATAAGAAGATAAGAACTTAAAAGTAGCCATACTGGATTAGATCAGTGGTCCACCTAGTACAGCATCCTACTTCACACAACGGTCCTAGTCAAATGCCACAGGGCAGCCCATGTATAGATGCTTCCAGTGCCCAATACTCATGGGCATTCTGTCTCTGAACTCAGAGGTCCTATTGAACTATCACGATAGACACATTTCCCACAAATCTGTCCAACTTCATTTTAGATACATTTAAGTCAGTGGTTATCACCACATCTTGGGCTGGTGAGTTCTACAAGTTAACTGCACAGTTTTCTAGGGTGAGCCTGGGTTCTTCTGTTATAGAGTGGGGGAAAAATTCCTCTCTTTTTTCTATGCCATGTATAATTTTGCAAACATCTGTCAAGTTACTCTTCAGTTGCCCTTTGCTTCTGAACTGAAAAATTGCAGATGTATTCACCTTGCCTCACAGAGCAACCTGTTCATCCTAAGAACATTTTGGTTGTCATTTTCAGCATTTCCCCCCAGCCCTTCGAAATCCTTTTTTGAGATTAGGCAACCAGAACTGTACAGTGTTTCAAATGTCCCCTAGATTTATATAGTAATTACTATATTGATAAATTTATTGCTAATTCCTTTCCAGATGAAGGATTTGAAATACCATCCCTATTCTTACCACAAATCGTTGGCACTTAGAATCATAGATTTTACTCTCTGCTCATCCTGTTGCCTCCACATCTCCCCAAACAAGACCCTCAACCTGTAACAAGAGATTAAAACCTAAGATGTGTTAAGAAAAGAATAAATTATGGAAATAATATTTGTTTCTTTTTTAACTAGCTCCATACATTCCTTCAAGACATTTTGTTCAACAACTCAGCTGGAGAAGACCTGTCCTTTAATAAGAACTGGGAAATGGGAGCTGCATTCGACATCATGAATCTGATTACGTTCCCAAACCATTCCTTCAGCAGAGTGAAAGTTGGAAGGGTGGATGCTGATGCTCTAGAAAGAAGCAGATTCATTGTTCATGAGGATATGATTGAGTGGCACAGTATTTTTAACCAGGTATGGCCTTCCAGACTATTCTTGGTGGCCATTATCTGGGCTTGTCAAAGGCTGGTAGTTCCCCATCATAGATTATCAGCCCCTGTCATGGATAATCAGGCTGTATCACAAAATGAGAGCCACCAATTGTTTCAAGAACTAGAGAAAGGATAAAAATTAAAGTGTCAGATGGTCTCTTAATATTTGCAATTTTAAAATTTTGCATCTATGTCAAACATAGCGAAATGAGGCATTGCTGTGAATATGCAAGGTCTTTGCTCTGTTCTTCAAATGTTGCTTATCTAAGCAAGAGCCACAAGAATAATGAATGTCATGATCACAAAGTTCTACTGGTTTGGAGTCATTTTATTTCATATGATCACTGTCTTTATTAACAATTTAAAGACTAACAAGAGCTTTCTTGAACAGGCAGACTAATATGGCAACCCATCTTTATTAACAATTGTTAGACTTATGAAGGAATGTGGAATGGTACAGTATAACATGACCTTGTCAGATCTCAGATGATAAGCAGGATCAGTACATGGAAGAGAGACCACCAAGGAAGACTGCAGAAGAAGGCACTGGCAAACCACCTCTGCTTCTCACTTGCCTTGAAAGCCCCTTTCTGGGGTTACCATACATTGGTTATGACTTCAATGTGCATATATACGTATGTAGGCTTATGAGGGAGCCAGTTAAGAAGGCTTAATGGATCACAACTGACCACTACCTGATGATTACTATTCCTATGGAATAAGAAACTGGGGCCCCGGTCACACGGGCCAGATATTGGGGGGGGGAGGCGTGGTTGTTTGCCCTGGGGCTAAAGAACGTGCGGTTGCACGAGCAGACCTACCGTGGAGGTCCCGTGGAGGTCCTGTGGTAGGGGGGAGGTGAAGATCACTCCACAGTCCTGCAGCATGGCAAAGAAGTGGGGCACGGGGGCAAACGGGGTTGTTGTTTTTTAAAAAACTCAAATGTGCGCATGCTCCCTCGGGTGCTTGTGCGCATCCGTGGAGACTTTGAAAAAAATTTTTTGTGAGGGGACATGGGCGGGCGCCGGAACTACCACTGGAAACCCGATCAAACACCCGCCCTTGCCCCGCAGTTTCAGGAAACTAGTACCTCTGAGGTACTAGTTTTTTACCCCACATCTTGAGCGGGAAGCCTCGGGTGAGCCACGGAAGCTCAACGCTTCCCAGATGTGGCGGTAAGATCGTGCCCAGAAAATCTGCCTATCTTCCGTCTCTCTAGCATGCCTACTGCTCCGTGTGACTGCAGCCTGGGTTGAATAGCCTATTTCTTCTCTCTTGAGTCTTAATTTGCCTTATCTAAGCAGGAGACATTTTTCCCATTTCAACTATGCACTATTTTTCATTAAATGTACAGTAGGACAATCTGTAACCTTTCAAACTCTTAACTCCTTTTATGTTTTGGTATAGGCCCCACCTCTTTCTCTCTTTATCCAAGGCAAAAGCAGCAAAAATATCATCTGCCGTGATCGGAAATCCTAAACAGTCCATTGAATGTTCTGCTTTATTGCATGTCAAATGTTCACCTTTACAATATATATTTTTTGTGAGCAGTGTGTAATTTCTCCCACCATCAATGACTTTCAAATACTGGCATAGGTGGTGCCCATTTCTGTGTGCAATGACTACTGTCGTCCTGGTTATCAGAAGATAAAGACAGAAGGGGAGATGTTTTGCTGCTACAACTGTGATCCATGCCCAGAAGGAAAGATTTCAGACAGCAATGGTAGGTGATGTAGTGCATTAGATTTCCCATCATTCTGGTTGGCTGCAGATTACCATTTCCCTAAGAATACTTTAAATAAAAGAAGTGATGCTCACCTCACATCTCCAAGTTTGGCTTGTCCCAGAAATTTCCCCAGTACCTAAAAAATCTAAACCTTTCTCCTGCACCACTTTCTTATTCACACATCAATGTTACCCAAACTGGACCCAGAGAGAGGGAAATTAGCTTGTTACAGGGTCTCCAGCTAGATGAGCAAAGGCTCTTTTGTCGGTTTATATGAAGGTTTTGTTCTAGCGTAATATTCTGAAGAGAAAAAGTGACAGAGACCAACCAACTCAAAAATTGCAGGAAAAAATTGCAGAATATCATTGCATGGGAGTCCCTTATGTCCATACCTCTTGGTATCCCGCTGGCAACCCTACTAGCCCTTACTCAAAAATGAGCTTTACTTGTATGTCCTTCTTTAATTGTCTCTTTCTTTCCCTGCAAAACGTTCTCATTCTGAACATCCTAGAAACTTATTTCTTAGACCCTTGACCCCTAATTAACTCTGCTTACAGCTGGGACCTCTGGCTCCTTTCCAAGCCTTGCACAATAGCCAGTAATATCAGATGATTCATCTCTGTCAGCAAAAGCCCCTCCCACAAGGACCATGTGTTTAAGCTAAGAGCTGGAAGTAAGCTTCGGACAATTTAAACCCCAAACAGTTCAAAAACCCAAGTAAAGTGCACATAGACTTCCTCTTTGCTTCTTTCAGTGGCTGCACACTAAACTCCCCCAATTAGCATGACCTGTTTGCAGGCTTTGGCCAGGAACTACCATCTGACTTCTTAGCATGTTAACCTGTACTAAATTCTGATTAACACCATCAGACTGCACATCTATTATTTCACCAGCAGGTTCAAATATCCGGGTTGACTTTCCAGTATGTGCTAAAAACAGATTTATATAAATATAAACTTTCATGAATAGCATGTTTTCTTAAAGGCGATTAAAGATCTAACACAATACCCCTTAATTTAAACAATGACTACTAATATATCATCTGCAGCAACAGAACAAGAATGTTCTTGAATATTCCTATCTAGAATGAGCAGTTAAAATGTACCATAAGCAATGCCTTCCACATCTAAATGAAGTTCTGAAAAGCATGATGGGTCATTATACTTCTCTGTTTTCAGATGCGGTTGACTGTATTAAATGCCCTGATGATAGATTTCCAAGCAAGGACCAAGATGGATGCATCCCAAAAGTTCTAAGCTTCCTGTCCTTTCAAGAACCTTTGGGGATCAGTTTAGCCTCTGTTGCTGTTTCTTTTTCTCTCATCACAGCCTTAGTCCTAGGGATTTTTGTTAAATGGAAAGACAGCCCCATTGTCAAAGCCAGCAATCGGGATATCACCTACACTCTCCTTGTTTCCCTTCTGCTCTGTTTCCTTTGTTCATTGTTGTTCCTTGGACAACCAACAAAGATATCCTGTTTCTTCCGACAAGCTGTTTTCAGCATCATATTTTCAGTAGCTGTTTCTTGTGTCCTGGCCAAAACCATCACTGTGGTTGTAGCTTTCATGGCCACCAAACCAGGTTCCAAGATGAGGAAGTGGGTAGGGAAAGGATTGACTAACTCCATTATCCTTTCATTCTCCCTCATTCAAGCAGCTATTTGCATGGTATGGCTAGGAACATCTCCCCCATTCCCAGATTTTGATACACAGTCATCGAGTGAAGAGATCATCACTGAATGTAATGAAGGGTCTGTTCTTATGTTCTATATTGCCCTAGGCTACATGGGAGTTCTGTCCATCATCAGCTTGACTGTGGCTTTCCTAGCCAGAAAATTGCCTAGCAGTTTCAATGAAGCCAAATTCATCACCTTCAGTATGTTTATATTTTGTAGTGTTTGGGTCTCTTTTGTCCCAACCTATCTGAGCACCAAAGGGAAATACATGGTAGCTGTGGAGATTTTCTCTATCTTAGCCTCCGCTGCTGGCTTACTGGGTTGTATTTTTTCCCCAAAAAGTTACATTATTCTGGTGAGGCCTGAGTTGAATGAGAAGAAACAACTAATTAGGAGAACAAATTAAATACTCTATTGTTCTATGTTCTTTTCCCACATTCCTATAGGACAGATGTGTCTGCCCCTACTCTTTATGGAAGACAAGGCTGGGGCAATGGTTCTTCATCTTTGTGCAGTTGAGCCAAATATGTGAAGATCATAGAGTGGGATCTTTTTGGTGGATCTCTATTTCTGGAGTAGACATTTGTTATAAACTAGCCACCCCCACGAGCTCCTTAACTAATTTCGATTAGCATGGGATTATCAGGTTCCCTGAAGGGGTCAGGATAGAATTTTTGGTGCTGCCATCAAATGGACCTAGAAGCGGCCCCTTTTCTTACTGTTTGGCCAGATTTGTGCAGAACATTAGTATCCATTAAAAGCTGTTTGTTAGCAGGATCTTGCTTTAGTGAGGCTTTGAAGCTCTGCTAATCTTAAAGCATTTGTTTAATGCTTTATGTGTTATTTCTTCATTTGGAAGTACAAGTAAAATGTGTTTCTTTTGTGAAATCTATAAAATGTGCTGTTTGTACAATCTGTTTTATGTCTGAAGGAAGCTTTTTTTTCAAGTGTAAGAGTGATATAAATGAAGGCTGGAAAATAAACTTGTCCTTCTTGACAACTCTTTACTGAAGTGTTTTGTCTGAGCTGGTGTACACTGATTTGAATTAGTCTGAATAAATCTGAGCTGGTTTGAAATAGTTTAAATTCCTGGACTAATCTTCCAATTAAATCCCGATCCATGAAACTTCTGATCAATGGCTAGTATATATTCCAAACAAATATTTCAGTATTTCAAAATATATAATATATTTGCAGGGTGGGAGGGAAGGCAGCATGGTATAACCCAATCTCAACAGATCTCAAAAGCTAAGCTTCTGATCAATACTTGGAAGAGAGCCCACTGTCAGTTAGGCCTCTAGCTGCCATGGAGTGAGGGGGTGCCTCTGGAATGTTAGGTTTCTCTTTCTCTGTGCCTTCAGTGCTTTTTTATCTCTGTAACATGAGCATTTGGCCTTGGTATCTACCATCAGCTTTCTCTTGGGAAAATAGACTTGTTAACTCTGGCGGGCTTTTACCTACTCCTTTTTTGGCTCTCGGCCATCAGGGGACTCTCTTGAATTATATATATCTACTTGCTCTGAACGCTTATTGCCAGTTCTAACACGAGATGTGTAAAGATAATCTGCATACTTCAGTGTCTCAATAAACTTCACTCCTTTGTATGAAAGTTGTTGGGAACTGATTGCTGCAGGAGTCTGACAACGACTAAGTCTCTCTCTGCAGAGGAAGGCAATGGTAAACCTCCTCTGCTTCTCACTTGCCTTGAGAGCCCCTTGGTGGGGTTGCCATAAGTCAGCTTTGACTTGACAGCACTTTACACACATGTGTGTAGGGGAGAGACTTCATGAAGGTTTAATTGCTGTGATTTCTAAATTGATGAACTACATGAAATATACAGATGTTGACAGCAGAGTGTGGGGTTAGAGTGTGTGACTAGATCTGAAAGACCCAGGTTTGAATTGCTTAATTTCATCCATACTCTACCTTTTCCCCAAATGGGGATCCAAAGTGGCTTCCATTGTCCTCCTCACCTCTATTGTATTATCATAACAACCATGTTAGGTCGGTTTGCTTGAGAGTGTGTGACTAGTACACACACTGCTGTTTATTGAACCTTGCTGAGTGACCTTGCACTCCTTACTCTCTCTTAGCCTAACTTACCTCACATGGTGGTTGCTGTGAGAGTAAAATGCTGGAGGGGAAGCCACTTTGAGTCTCCACTATGTATAAAAATAAGTTATAAATAAATAAATACATGTTCTCACGTGCCTTTCCTCAGTTTCCTTAGAGCCCTTCCAGGACATAGAAACTTACTTCATGATTCAAAGTGTTTTTATGGAGCAATGGACTCTCTGTAGACCATTCTTTTTCTCCAAGGTCTAACAAACCCACCAGCCTCTCTCTAAAAGTTGCATGACAGGTTGTCTAAGAATTGTCATGATGTACACACAACCACATACACGCATTCCACTGTGTTAGACACACATGTTGACTACCACCTTTCTACTTCTGGTTGCTTGTGGTATCCAGTGGTAGATATCCCTAAAATGATCACCAAAAAGTGTCATGAATTGTGTGGACGTGGCAGCTTGGTATTGATTTTGTTTGTTAGATATGAGCAAGCTCCAGATAAGACAATTGACTTCCCTAGGAAAACCCTTCTCTGCTTTCTCCACCTGGATCTTTTACCAGGTCCTTTTAGTTCCACACATGTTGACTACCACCTTTCTACTTCTGGTTGCTTGTGGTATCCAGTGGTAGATATCCCTAAAATGATTGCCAAAAGTGTCAATTTGAATAGTGTGGACTTGGCAGCTTGGTTTGATAGATATGAGCAAGCTCCAGATAAGACAATTGACTTCCCTAGGAAAACCCTTCTCTGCTTTCTCCACTTGGATCTTTTACCAGGTCCTTTTAGTTCCTGCCCTGGCTACTGCCAAGGCCTGCGAGAGGTGCTCCTTGCTCCCATCTTGGACAGAAATGCTATCCTCTTAGTCCGTAAAATACTTAGATCCCTCCAGAGTGCAGAAACCCCCCAGCCTCTCTGACTACTGTCCTTCCCAGCTTCTTGCTGGTAGGCAGAAACGTACCTGTCCATCTTCAAGTTGGCTAAGAAATGACATGATTCAGACACAACTGTATACACATATTTCCCTGTGCTAGACAGACATAGACACACATCTTGGCCACCATATTACTACTTTGGGTTACTTGCAGTATCCAGAGGTAGGCAGGCCTAACATGAAAACTAAAGAAGTGTCAGCTGGAATTGTCTGGACTTGATATTTCATATTTGCTCATGAGATTTGAGCAGTCTGGAGCCAGGATGATTGGGTGCAGGAGGGAAGATCTGCAGCTTCCCATGTAGGCTTTTTATCATGGAGAGACATTCTGTTCAGACAGCAGCACAACATTGAGGGCTGAAAAACTGATTCACAGATTCTGCATTGTGATCTACCAAGCAAAAAAAGTTGGGGATGATATACTTATTTCCAATAGGGGCTGCGAAAAGTCAGCCATGGCATACTTATTTTCACTAGAGGTTGCCAAAAGTCAGTGGGGGGGGGGGAGAGAGAAATAGTGCTAGAAGGCAGCAGACTTGGAAGGTGGAAAATATCCTCTCCTTTACAAAATAAAGGGAATATAACAACTTCCCTATCAGATACATTGGTTGGAGTGTCAGATTAGGGTCAAGGAGATATATGTTCTAATGCCACATACTTCTGGCTAAGTTATGGTGGGTCAAACACTCTCAGCCATACCCACCACATAAAGCTGGAAGGATACAATGGAGGAGAGAAGAATGCTGGAAGCCACTTGGGGCTGCCAATGGGGAGAAATGTAGAGTATGTTGATTCCTATAAACCTAATTTTGGGTACAGCTCACCAATTAAAGATGATCACTATTGTTACTTTATCTGGTACTCTGCAGCTCTTTTGGTAGGATGAAGAACTGCTTCTTCAGTATTCAAGGTACAGTTAAATATTGCCAGGATAGTGTGGTGTGGGGTTGGAGAGCTGAGCAAGCAGCAGCAGTTCTCATCATCCTTAATAAAAGGATCTGTCCATTCCAGTTTAATGGCATCCCGCTAGCGGACGCATTCCCCAGACCTCTCGGGGAGGCAATCCGCGCATCAGCGGTTTGGAGGGAGGGTGATTGTTCGCTCACACACACCCCCGGAGCTTTGTTGAAAGGCTTCTAGCCATGGGGCTTTTGAGGGGTGGCCTCTTCACCAGTGTGATGCTGGAGAATTGAGGCACTTCTTCACCCCTCTGGTCCAGCCGTTGGGCATCCAAATGGAACTAGAGATGCCAACTGGAACAAGCGTTGGAGATCAGGCATTGTAAACGTACCTGTGGTGAGGTCTCCAGCCCACCAATGAACAGTGAGTTGAGTTTAACGCAAACACCAGGATGATAAAAGAAAGCCCCCCAGGATCAGCAAGACTAGTGAGCAGGGGAGGGGCCCCCCATATGCATGAGTAAAACAATGATCTCCCAAGGGGGGGCAGAACTATAAGCGTTAAAATCTGTTTTGATAAGTACACGAGAGCGTGAAAAAGTGCTTGGCCGAATTGCAAAGACTTTAGCAAAAGTTTTTAAAAGTTAACAATCCATAAAAATGGCACTGAGAAAAGTGGAGAAAGAAAGGCAGGCGAAACTGGAACCGACTGGAACCATGAGCCCCCGACTGGAAGATCACAGAGTTTTCTAAGCGTCTAGCAGACTTTTTGTTCCCTCTACTGGATCAGATGATGAATATCAATCAACAGCTGACAACATTAAACCAAAATTTTGCAGCTGAGCAGCTCCAACTGAATGAAACTACCAAAAAAAGGGAGCAAAGTTTCTGATGAATATCAGCTCATGAAGCTACAAATGGAAAAAACCAACTTAGTTCTCTGGTTCCAAGGTGTCCCTGAGGCTAAAGATGAGAATCTGAAAAAACTTCTGATGCGCTTGCCCCAATTGCAGATTTAAAAATGGACTATCTTATAAGCGAAATGGATGTGGCTTATACAGCCTATTCTGTATACATTAAGGAAAATAATCTGTCTGTGTAAATAGTGGTAAGATTCTCGAAGAGACATGTGCAGGATCAAATACTGAAAGCAACATCAGGAGCACCCTTAAAATTGGAGACAACACCATCAGAATTCTAAAAGATATTCCTTTTGAAATAAGAAAAAAGAGACAGAAATATAAGGACCTGATTATGTTCTTGCAAACAAACAGCATTCCTTATAGGTGGTTGATTCCTGAGCTCAACCTTTTCAAATTAAAGGATAAAAAAGAAGAAGAAAATGACTCTGTTTCTAAAGTCTGTCAGTTTCTAAGACTGCAACTGGGAGATTCGAGAGAGGATGGCAGAGAGGATGAGGACAGCAAACCTAGTGAGGATTCTTCTGATGAGGACTCTGCTTCTGAAAAGGGGGTGGCGCCCCCCAAACGAGATTATCAATTGAGGATAAGAAAAGATAAAACAAAATAATGACTGAAGAACTCTGAATAGTGCCTTATAAGCTTTTATTATCAATGACGCTCTAGTGACTCTCTTAAAACAGTGTAACTAATCGATATGAAGATTAATATCATAGCTTAATCGACCATGTTCAATGCGATTTTAACATTTTTAGACTAATACTGATATAAGCGACTGAAATGATCTCCTATACTTGGGGTTTTAGTTAGTAGTGGGTTTTTTCCCCTTTCTCCCTTAGATGTACTTGTCCCCTCCCTTTTTTCATTGTAGTTTGTAGTCTATAGAAAATGCAATAAAAAATCCCCTTCGGGGACTTAAAAAAAAGAATCTGTCCATTCCTTTGTCCATCCTTCTGTCCATCTGCCAGCCAGTCTGTTTGTTGCATGTATAATACCTCTAAAAATAAAGGCAGGAGACTTAATATTGGACACTGGCTGCTGCTTTATCATGGGTATTACAATGACAAATGTAATGGGAATTGGAACATCTAGACGTACAGAAACAACCCCTTCACCACTTCTGGCACTGGAAGCTATATTTGTCTCTGACAGGCCTAATTCATCAGAAAATAAAACTAGATGTTTCAAAATTGTCCACCTGCTTCAAGAGGATGAAGGGAACTACAGGGCCAACAATTAAGGGAATCTGAACAACCTCCCCTGCCTTAAATTGGCCACAGGCTTCGAGATGATCATTGCAATCACTTGCCAAAAATGATAATCTCTGAACCAATGACCGATTTTGAGGCTCCTAGCTTTACTTTTGGTTGAGTTATGCCTGACACAAACAACCTGAGCTTCCATTGGGAATGGGGAGGTTTGTGGAAATAACTGAGGGCTCGACGTTCGAGTTCCCCTCATTTTGGGCACAACAGTTCTTATGGTCAATCTGAAGCTAGAGGGTAATGCTGAGCCTCCTAGTTCTAATTTCAGGTAAGTGAATGTTTCTCGGGATTGTGTAGGCAAGGGTATCCCAATTTCCTTCATCTTTGACACTCCATCTGCCATGGTCATCCTGAAGGTGGTGGCCAGGATTGAGCCACCAAAATTTATTTTCTGAGCATCTATGCTTGAAATAAAGAGAAAGATGAACAAAGGGAAGGACAAAGAGATGGACAGATGAATGGGTTTTTTCCTAGATAAGATGAGAGGTAGGCCTGCTCTGTTCTCTAGCAAATCCACATAACTTCCTGTGTTAATGAAAATTACTGATAATTAGATACTGAATGAGAAGCAGAAGAAATCACAGGAGGGCAAGATTTATTAATTCATTCTCTGCATTAAGTTTTCCCTTTTGTTCAGCTCAGGCCTCCAAACAATAATGTAGCACTTGGGGGAAAAGATACAGCCCAATAACCCAGCACTGGAGGTCAAGATAGAGAAGATCTCCACAGCTACCATGGATTTCCCTTTGGTGCTCAGATAGGTTGGAACAAAACAGAGCCAAACACTACAAAACATCAGCATGCTGAAGGTGATGAACTTGGCTTCATTGAAACTGTCTGGTAACTTTCGGGCAATGAAAGCCACAGTCAAGCTGATGATGGACAGAAGTCCCAAGTAGCCCAGAACAATATAAAACATGACGACAGACCCTTCATTACATTCTGCTATGATCTCTTCAGTCATTGACTTGGTGTCCAAATCTGGGAAAGGGTGAGAAGTTCCTAGCCACACTGTGCAAATGCAGATTTGGATAATGGAGCAGGAAAGAACAATGAAGTTGGTCATTCTTTTTCCTACCCACTTCCTCAGCCCAGATCCTGGTTTGGTGGCCATGAAAGCTACAACTACAGTGATGGTTTTGGCCAAGACACAAGAAACAGCCACGGAGAATATGATGCCAAAAGCAGATTGCCGGAGGAAGCAGGTCACCTTGGTAGGTTGTCCAAGGAAGAGCAAAGAAGAAACAAAGCAGAAAAAGAGAGAGATTAACAGAGCACAGGTGATATCCCGGTTGTTGGCTTTGACTATGGGCGTATCTCTGTGCTTAATAAAAATTCCCAGCACCAATATAGTGATTACTGAAAAAGAAATGGTAACAGAGGTTAAAATGATCCCCAGAGGTTCTTCATAAGACAGAAAGCTTATTGTCTTAGGAAAACATTGATCTTGGTCCTTGCTTGGATATTGGTCTTCTGGGCATTTGATACAGTCCTCCATATCTAAGAAAGAAAGAGTAATGAAAAGAAAATGTGCTTTTTCAGTGCCAACACATATACCAATTTACTTCCAATTGTAGTTGATGTTGTGGAAATATCAAAGCCTTTCTTAATGCTGATTTCTCATTGCTGGTTCTAGTTCTGGACATCATCACATAAAGTCATTTTAAAATTCTTACACACATTTCAGTTATTTCTGGTGTCACTTTTCTTGCTATTATGTACATGACATATATTTGTTGTGCTTAAAGCATTATTATTTATATTTAAACACACCTAATAAAATGTCAGTTATAACACTGGGAAAACATTTTTTAATGAATAAACACACAGGAAGGTTGCATTCATAATATGAATGTGTTGGTTATGGATGTCATTCCAAACTAGGTACTTCAGGTACACCTAACACCAAGGAATAGATCACACATGTATTGATGATCGTGAATCTTGAGGTTCACTTCTTGCATTTTGTGAGGTTATAATCCTTTCTTCCAATCCTTAAGTGAGTTTTGTTTGCCTTAGTTCCAGTACTGAGAGGCAGCCCTGTAGGATGTTATGTTTTGATGGTATCAAAACCTGCTGAGCGATCCAGTTGTTGTGCGGTCATCCACTAGGTTTCATGCTCCTCCTGTTCTAGGTGCTCTCTCTAACACCAGCCTGTTTCAATGATCTGAAAAGCACTTCACTATAGAATACTGTGTAATATCCACCATGGAGAAGGCAAAGTGCAAATGAATGTAAAGCTTAGGATCCCAGCAAATATTTCTATGATTTTTTAAAACATATATCCAAGAAACAACAATGACTTCAGTGTCATGAAAAACCAGAGCCCTGGATTCAAGAACACATTTGTGAAATTTGTTTACATTCTTCCCTGTTGTCAGCTAAAATGTGATTCACAGATGCATAGACTTCACTTGATTTTCTCATTACTTATGAACCACATCAGGAAGGGTGATCTGACAGCTCTTAAAAACATGGAGTTTCCTGGATTTTTGACCATGTGGCAAAATTTGCCTAATCTTTGGGCTGGATGATACAATCCATTGTCACACTTTCATCAGTTACCACTTGAGAATTAACATCATATGCTGGAATAAATGGAACACATTACATCACTTGCCTTTCTGGTTGGATATCTTTCCAGCTGGGCATGGAACACAATTGTAGCAGCAAAACTGCTCCCCTTCCTTCTTTTGCTTCTGAGAACCAGGGGGACAGTAGTCATTGCACAGTGAAATTGGCACTACCTATCCAACACAATGGAAGGAATTTAGTATGGAAGACATGAGTTTGTGGGGTTTTTTGTTAATGGTCATGATGATCCCCACCCAATCATTAGGGGGACTGAAATGTCTTTATTCTGTCCTGCGAAAGCAAGCCAGGGACACACCTATGACTTCATACTTAAAACACATACTGCTGGATTAGTCAGTCACTTGTAATAGGAATTACTTAGAATTTGCTTCTGTTTTCTGTTTTCTCCTACAAAGCAGCACCTAAATAGGACTAAAATACAATAAAAGTAAGTTCTTTGTTGCAATATACTGGATTGAAATGGGTTTAACCACATGTGGTTCCACTGATCCTTAATTAGGAAACTTTGCTGAATTAATACCCAGTAGGGTTATCCCATATACCCAATAGGGTTATCGGCGCAGAGTGAATTTAAAATTGTAGTTTTCTTGTCTGCTTGCTCTTTTTTTTTGGCCTGAGCAGCAAAGCATAACAACTTTACCAGTGATGAGACAATGGAACTAGCCCCATATCTTTTCCAGCCCCATGTGCAGCAAGAAGCCTTTGGGCTGAGAAGCAAATTATGAGTCCAGAGAGAGAACTGGTCTCCATGACTTAGTAAAGTTGGACGAAGGAGCAGAAATGTCCCTTAACACTGATCCTCCAGTGAAAGGAGAGACTGAGATCGCACAGTGGAACAAACTAAACAGTAAAGGGAAGAATTTCATTGTTCAATGAAAATCTAGTGATTGAGTTGTGCATATTAAGGTACTAAAGATAGCAAAATAAATGTTGAATGCTTTTCAGAATTTATATGGTCAGGATGATAAAAGTTTTATTATTCAAAGAGCTTTATTTCCACTAAGCTGAAAGAAGGAGGGATGTGGACAAGCATATAGCAGTAATATTAGCTATGCTGGGTAGTGCAACCTTGCAAAATATCCAATACATACACGCAACAGACTACTCAGCATAGTGGCTCATTCTATAGAACAAATCAAGGCATTTATATATTTAGGCATATAAATCAAAACCCCTCCAATGGAGGCCTAAAATGGTTTATAGAAAAGAAGAAGAAAAAAGCAAGTTTACAATGCAAACTCCTGGACTGTTCCTAGAACTACTGGCTAGCTAATTTACAGTTTAAGACTAAGAACCCTTGGCTCTTGTCTTTGCCGAGCAGCAAAAGACTTGCACTTCTAGCCAAGCTGCAAACAGGAAGGGAAACAGAAGCTCAGCATGAACTTTTTACCACTGGCAGAGCTATTCAGAAATATATCTGATTCGTTCATAAACATACCAAATTTCAATAAATATACAAAATATAATCAACAGTATGCACACATGTAGAACACATACATTTTTTTAAAAAATGGCTATGACTGGAGATACTTGACACTCTGTTGCTACGTTGCTTTTGTCAAATTCATAACATTATAAAGTCATCCATTATAAGAGTCCTGCTGTCCTGCTATACAGGAAAGGAACCCCCCCCCCCAATCTTGGAGTCTCTGACCCAATGCCAGAGGCGCCTCTGTGAACATCCCAGAATATATACCTGGTTAAATTGGCTCTGCCACACAATTCTGTCCACATCAATGATCAATTCCTCTCCTTCAAAAGCATCTGGATCCACCTTCCCAATTTTCACTTTATCAAAAGACTTGTTGGGGAATGTGACCAAGTTCATGATATCAAAGCCACCTCCTATTTCCTTATTATAATTAAAAGACACCACTTCTCCTGCAGAGTTGTTAAATGAAATGTGTCGAAGGAATTCGTGGAGCTAGAAAGAAAAGATGTTTTAAAAATCATGCTGGCGATCTATTCTGAGATTTACAAACTGCTTTCTTTACTGATATTGTTCCATACACAGCTTGACAAATCATTTTTTTTTCCTGTGGCAGAAAGCAAAGTACCACACAGTTGTTCTAAAAATATGTTACAAGTATAGAACATAAGAGCCTTCCTGGGTCAGACGAATGGTTCACCCAGGACTATTTTTGGGCAGAAATGCACAGGAACGGAATTCCGGCTGGCTTCAGAGTTGGCCAAGCCTACGACAGCCAAAACCTCTGCGTGTGTTGCTACAGAAAGAAGGCCTGGAGAGTGACCCCCCCCAGCGACTCTGAGGCGGGCAGGCCTGGAAGGATCAGGGAGACATTAAATGCCTACCCAAGCCTTACCAGACCTGTCCAAGGGCCGGCTTGACTGGGCTCCATGCAGCTGCGGGGCTCCCAGGCAAGCCAAGGGAAGGCAATTTAAACTGCCTTCCCTTCCCTTCAAAGGAGGGCTTGCTCGGGCTCCCCGCAGCCGAGGGGTGCTTGGGCAAGCCAAGGGAAGGCATGAGGTATGGCCTAATATGCTAAGGAGTGCCTGCTGGGCTTTTTCTATAAAAAAAGCCCTGGGTCCATCTATTTTTTGTTTTGGCATTTTTCATGTGCATATGAGTGTGTCACTCTGTCTCTTCTCTTTACTGTCTACTAAGTTAGTTCCTGAAGAAAGCTTTTTCTAAAAAAAATCCTTAATCAGTTTGTGTGGTCACTTTTGAGCAGTCACTCCGCTGATGAAGGCATCTTTGCTTGTGGCCATCAGTACATCCTTTGGAAATGAATTCAATAACTATACATGTTGGAGAAAGATGGAGGAATGCTCACATGGTAGTTATATGTTCAAAGAAATAAGACCTTACATTGGGACGATGTTACCTGCCAAGGCTGGAGATGTTGAAGGCCTTTGATTTTGCAGACACCCAGCATGGATTTGTGCTTGGAGCAAGAGAGGCACATGACATGCAGAGCATAGGCTATGGCATAGACTGCATTATAGATGCTGTAGCTGTGGCCAGTCATCTGCATCTCAAAAACAGGCCCAGAAAGACTCTCCAGCTTCTCTTGCCCAGTACCAGTTCCATGAATCTGAGATGAGTCTTGGGAATTTAGAGGACAGTCAAATGCTTGTTCCCAGAAATCCTTGAGAAATCCATCACCTTGTGTCCAATAAGGGTTTATGCTTTGAAGAAACTTCTGGAACCCTACAAGCTCTTGTGAGTGAATGGAGAAGAAAATTGAACCCTGGAAGAATTCAAGACTCCAGGCCCTTTGAAGGGCCGCTAATGCAAAATCAGTCTGGGCTGTCATAATCCACACCCTTCCAAATGAAGTGTTTTCCAGTAAATCATGATTACCTAGGTATAGAAATGTGGTCAATGCAATAATGGTCATAGTTTCTCCATAGAGGATAAATGTATTGGCTTTGCTGTCTACCAAAGCTGGATAAACATTTGAAAATAAATCTATGGCATCCCCGAAGGTATTCCAGTGGCCTTGCTTTATCATTGTTTCTGCAAAGGCCACACAAATTCCATGTTGGAAAAGCAATGGCTCCATTTCGTGAATGAAGTGTTCTCCACTATCGTCATTCATGGCAAAGAGCCCAACCCATGTCCATCCAAAGCGCTGAAGTAATCGAATGAGCCCCACATACTGATGGGCTTCACTGGGAACCATGCAATAGAAGGAAGGGGACTTTGAGTTGCCCCTCTCCACTTGAGAAAATGACCCATATGTGAGCTAAGGAAACAAAAAGAGAAATTTGAAATGCATTTTCCGGTGCCTGTTTACCACTGAATGTTTTGAAAATAGGAATATGGGGCAATTTCTGAGTAACAGTTATGCAGAAATATCTATTAAAAGCACCTTGCATTGCATTTCCACCACAACACCATCTACCACTTCAGAACAAGTTTCCATCTGATTATATTTCTTTGAGTTCAAAACAATTTTTCACCTAGATAGATGATAGATAGATAGATCTGTGCGTTTGAGCCATTCCCAGTAAGATATGTGTTTACATATCAAAATCTTTCATTATTCCATGCACACAGCCTACCTGTGGAATTTTATAGAGACTTAGAATGTCCACCATGTGGAAGGAGACATCAGAACCAAGTCCCCCCACGACAGCCATCAGGTTTTTGTGCGTGTCACATCCATAATTCAGAACATATCTATGGGATTTATAGAGCAGATCCAGAGTGGTGCGGTAGGTCATCTTATCATCATTGTATGTGTCATAGATCTGGAACCCGAGTGTGACATTGGACAAGATTTTGGAATCCATGTTGATCTCGTTGACAGCAAAGGCCAAGGCCAAGGGGTGCTGGTAAAACTTTGTTATCATTCTTCAAAGAGAATTAAATGCTTCTTTCACCAAATCACGCAAGGACATTTCTAAATATATTGAGCTTTTAAATAAATTACATCACTGTAAGGATACACTTTCATGTTAACACTCTGTCTGAGGTGTGTGTGTGTGTGTGGGGGGGGGAACAATGTCACCTAGTTGTATATTTTTCCTCATCAAACCCCAGAAATGGCTTCCCCTGTCAATCGCCAGTATTTGAATGCCACAGATGAGTGGCTTAGGGAAAACAAGCTGAAACTGAGCCCCAGCAAGTCAGAGGTTGATGATCTAGGCTTATGTATGAAAGGGGACATCCCTTCATAGGGCAGGATTACAATTGCAGAACCAGGTTGGAGTAGTGGCAGTAAGTGTTTTCTTATTGAGTGACTTGTGGGCAAAATGCTTCAGAGGACAACCTGAAGTAGAGCTGAGTAAAGGAAAAGGTTTCCCTTGCTCGAAAGCCAGTGGAATCCAACTCTAGGGATGCGGTGCTGATCTCGGTTTCCAAGCCAAAGAGCCAGTTCTGTCCAGAGACATTTCTGTGGTCATGTGGCTGGCATGACTGGATGCCAAGGTGCACGGAACACTGTTACCTTCCCACCAAAGTGGTATCTATTTATCTACTTGCAATTTCTTGCTTTCAAACTGCTAGGTTGGCAGGAGCTTGGACCACAGACGGGAGCTCACTCCATCTTGCAGCACTCAGGTCTCGAACTGCTAAACTACCAATCTTCCACCGACCTTCCGATCTGCAGTTCAGCGTCTTAACTACTTGAGCCACCCTACTAAATAAATAAGTAGAGCTACACCCTAGTAAATCAATGAGCTTAGATGCCTCAACTCACATATGGTTACACTGAGCCAATCTCCTTTCTTACTGAGGCCTTTGGGCCAGTAAGTGTGTAAAATTGTAGAACCAGTGTGTGTAAAATTGTGGGAGAAGGTCTCAACCAATGATCCTTCACATGAAAGTAAGGTTGTGGTGTCCATACTTTTCTCTGCTAAACATTATTGATATATTTGGCTTATTTATCATGTCACATCAAGGGTTGCATTACTACTTGACAGTTTGATCTACTTTCCCAAAGACAGCCAATACTTTCTTTCCCCCATCCAAGAATTACAACAAACAACTTACTTGCCCACTTCATACCTCTCTTGAATTAATTCTAGTCCCCTGAAAGCAGATGCCACCATAGAAGTGAAATCTCAAAGTGCCACCTACTTTTGGGTTGTGCCACACCGAGAAGGAAGCAACATATACCACATGGGGTGAATGGTTTTACTCTCTACATATCAGACACATTGTTTTCTTCTTATTGTAATAACAATGAAATGTTCAAAATCAAAACTACATTAAACATGTGTGTGCAAAGTGTTGTTGAATAGCAACCAAGCTGGAGCAACCCCAGCCAAGCACTTTTGAGGGAGAAGCAGAGGTGGTTTGCCATTGCCTTCTTCCACAGTGCTGTCCTGGTTGGTCTCCCTTCCAAGTACCGGTCCTGCTTAGCTTCTGGCCACACCATGCTTCCTTCCCTCCCCGAAACAGAGTCTATCAGAAAGTAACAGAGAAGTACACATTTGCAAAAGGGAATGACTAGACCATCTTTTAAGCTAAGAATAACTTCATTAAAAAGACACAGCAAGAACCACTGTGTGCAATGTATTGTTGTAATATTGTTGGAAGCCACAATTAACACAAAGGGCAAGCACATATCCTGTCTAGAAACCTTTCCTTATATCATGTGCAACAAGCATGGGGCCTAGTCTTCCTCTACTCTCTTTTTCCAGTGCATTCGATTGCAACACTTGGTAATCTGTAGGGCAGTTTCAACAACGTTTTTTCGGTACTAAGTGTAGCAGTTTCCCCAACTCCTATGCTTTCTGCATTGCCCTACCTCAGAACCCACCTTTATCAGTCTGAACAATCTTTTTTTTAGTGTCCCATTGAAAACTCTGTACACAGCTCTGTTTGCAATTCCATTGTGATTTCCACAATTATTTTCCAATGTCATATGCACTGGAATACTGAAGGGTATATATATTTCCCCCCCACTCCAGTTTCCCTGACTTCCAGTTTTCTAAATTAGGCATATTCCTATCTCACTGTATGGAAATGTAGTCAATTAAAAGCAAGCAAATATGCAAACAAATTTCTAACTCTTGCCCTGCTCTTTGCTCACTACAATATACAAAGTTTTCAGTATGGGAGAAGAAGGGTGGGGAGGCAGCAGGCTATGTACCAATCTTGTAAGATCTTGAAAGCTAAGCAGGCTTGGTGCTTGGAAGGGAGACCACGAAAGGCCACCATCTGCAGAGGAAGGCAATGGAAAACCTAGGGTTGCCAGCCTCCAGGTGGGACCTGGAGACCTTCCACCTGGCAGCCATAGGGAAACCACCTCTGCTTTTCACTTGCCTTAAAAGCCCCTTGTTGGGGTTGCTATACGTCAGCTGAGACTTGACAGTATTTTACACACATACACACACACGCGGGAGAAGAAAACCCATATGTACTGCTGCAAATAGAAATTAATAAGATTCAGAAAGAAAAAGAAAAAGTTATGTACTGGCATGGATCAGTTCTATATGCTGTTCGTTACATATCTCAGTTTTTTGGGGATTAGATTCAAAATAAAATTGAGGAGAAAAATATATAATTACTCTGTGAATTCAAACGTCTCTTGAGGAAAATCATTTTCAAACTTTTGTTCGTGTACGTGGTAGCTGAATTGAGAAACAATCCCACCAATGAGGAAATCCCCTGGTTGGTACCATTCATGAGGAATATGGATCTCCTCTCTGGAGCATGCCATTGTATCTACTTTGCATGCAATGCAAGGCAGAAGCACCAGCAACACCACTAGCTCCGACATTTGGACGGAAATGCTCGTTTCAGGATCCAACCTCTCCATGTCTATCTGTAGCATTATGCTGTCTTACTCAAGCTCCCTTGGAGAGTGGCTAAGTCCGCTTAAGTTACTTAAAAAGGAGTATATGTTTCCATCTCCCTATTGCAGAGTTTCAGAATGTCTGCAGCAGTGTCAACACTCTGATTTCTAGTCTAGCAAAGCAAAACACTCATGATCCAACTGATGCAGTCCCTTTGAACAGCTATCAATTGCACACAGGGGTTGTAGTAATCACTATTAAACATGTTCCTTTATTTTTTTTGTGCTTTCTGAAACACCACCACAACTTTGTCCAGATTGATAAATTACAGCAATTCTGTTAATTCCAGTGGGAAATAATTATGTCTACAGAGTTTGAGCTCTTAGTAGCAACGTTTGTAGCAAATATGGGTTTCGCCCCCTCCCCATCTGATCCAAATAGTTTCCTCAGCTCCTAAGTGGTTCAAAGTTGCCTCTGGCTTTCAGACGTCCCTGGTGAGCAAACACCAATAGCAAAGTTAGAGCCCAAGAACTAGCCTTCAGTTTGATGTTTAGAGGCAGAAGGACATATTTCATTTTTGTGGACTGTATTCCTAAATTGGCTGATTCAGAAGTAAGTCCAATTAAATTAAGTGGAATTATAAGAACAGGTATCACACAAAAAGGGCTAGGTGAAGTTCTGAAGGGCTATTCATCAGGTGGACTCTGGCCCTGTTCACACGAGACGTTTTAGGCCAGGAGAGGGACGGATCGGGGCCGCAGCAAACGGGCGCGATCCCACAGCAACATCTGGGAATTGTGCTGCGCCTGTTCCCAGCCCGTTCCCAATCCACCCCTCCCCGCCAAACCCCGCAGCAAAAAAGAACCACCTCCTCCTCCCAATCGTTTTTTTTTGAAATAAATTTTATTATTTTTAATATAAAACAAACAAATAACCAAACATCAGGAAGTTGTACAGCTTCAAAAAGTAGAATACATAAAGATACATCAAAATATATATCTAAAAATTCCAAAATTGGGAAAGTCCTAACCTTTTAAATCTTTTAAAACAATTAAAACATCAAAACATCAAAACATCAATTTGTCTCAGTCTTTGGATACACTTTAGTTATACAGTAACAACTTGAACTTGACATTTCTAACGGTCTCCCAATCGAACTTATCAATATCAATTTTTTCTAAAATGGGGTACCATATGTTTAAAGGATTCATCAACTCACATTCCGTCTGAATTTCAGAATGAAGAGTATTAAAATTTTCTAAAAGAAAAATGTCCCATACCTTATGCAACCAACTTTGTAAGGATGGAGGACTTTTATTTTTCCAAAACTTGGCTATAAGGATTTTTTCCGCAGTAAATAATAAATTGATTAACTGTTTCTTAGCATTAGATATAGCCACGTTTGGCCAGAGGTTTAATAGCATTAAAGTTGGGTTTACCGGCGGTTCCCAATCCGTTAATGTTTTAATTTGTGTTGCTACTTGAACCCAGAAATTATGTATGTGCTTGCACTTCCACCAACAATGATAAAAAGTGGCTTTTTCTTTACATCCCTTCCAACATAAAGGAGAAAGCTGTGGTATCATATGGGTCAATTTGGCCGGGGTCATGTACCAACGTAAAACTACCTTTAGATTCGCTTCTTGCACGTACAGAGAGTTAGACATTTTATTATGTGTATTCCAGATTTGTGTCCAGTTCTCCTCTGTTAGTTGTACTGCTGTGTCACGTTCCCACATTTCTTGATAGCTGAGCTTAACGTACTGCCGTGCTGATGTTAAGATATTATATACTTTGGAAATAAGACCCTTTTTCTTTTTTTCTAAATAGAGGAGACGCTCATATTCTGTAAGAGGTTGTTGAAGCGCATTCTTAAAGTCTGAGGTTTCTATAAAATGACGTACCTGAAAATACTCAAACCACTTTAGTTGTACACTATATTTTTTCTCAATATCAATTTTTTCTAAAAGTTTTTTTCCTGTGAATAATGTCTATGAGCCTTGTTATTTTAGCTTTTTTCCAGGAACCAAACGAAGAAGAGTCCCTGGCTGGAGGGAACCAGGATTGCCCACAAAAAGTACTCATCACCGAAAACTTAGAGGTAAGCCTCTTCTTATTTTGGAACCATAATTTAATTACATCTCTTAAAAAAGGTGAGGTAACTTTTGCCTTAGCCTTTTGATAACTAGAATTCCATAACAATGATTGAAACTCTGAGTCTAAAGTCGTATTCTCTTCAATCCATTTCCAATCAAGTTGAAATTCAGGATTATACTGTCTTATCAAGGATGCTAACACTGTTGCTTTGTAGTAAATAATTAAATTCGGAGCGGCCATACCCCCTTTCTTTCTTGGTCTTGTCATAGTTAGTTGTTTAATTCGTGGTGATTTAAATTTCCACACAAAACTATATATGTCTTTTTGCCATCGTTTAAGTAAATTAGATGGAATAAAAACTGGGATTGTTCTAAATAAGTACATATATTTAGGTAAAATATACGAACGTAGGATAGTCACCCTGTCTATCCAAGAGAAAGTATTAGTATTCCATTTGAGCAGCTTACCCATAATTTCTTTATGAATGGCCTTATGATTTACTTTAATAATTAAGTCCTTTAACTGTAACGGAATTTTAATCCCTAAATATGAAAAATAATTATCTACCCATTGATATTTAAATTGAGCTTTAATCTCTAACTCAGTTATTGTTGGAGTATTTATATTATAAATCAATGACTTTGTGTTGTTAATACACAGACCCGCTATCCTTCCAAAACTATTAAATATTGCTTGAATGTTTGTTAGTGACTTCAAGGGAGACGAAATATACAATATAACATCATCAGCGAACATACTGATCTTAAATTCTTTTCCCGCAATTTTAATACCTTCAACATTTTTATTCTCTCGAAGCGCACAGGCAAGGGGTTCCATAGCCCATACAAATAATAAAGGAGAGAGGGGACACCCCTGTTTTGTCCCCCGTTGAAGAGTAATCGGTACAGTGGACGCCCCGTTTACTAAAATACTGATTTGAGGTTTATCATATATGGCATTAATTAAATTACAAAAACTCGGACCAAAATTAAGATGTCGAAATAAAGTTTTTAGATACGGTATCTCTATAGAATCAAATGCCTTTTGGATATCCACTGCAAGCATCAGTGCAGGCTGTTGTTTTTGAGTTTTTCCAAAATGAATAATGTTCAACGTCTTCCTGACATTATCCGTGATATCCCTTGAGGTTATAAAACCCGTTTGGTCTTGGTGTACATACTGACCAATGATTTTTTTAACTCTTGCTGCAATCATACTCGTGAAAATTTTGTAATCTGTATTAGCTAATGTTATTGGACGATATGATGCCGGGTTGGTAAGATCTTTATCCTTTTTCGGGATCAAGACAACATTAGCTCTCTTCCACGTTTCAGGCATGTTGCCCGTGACCAATACTGAGTTACAAACCTCCAATAGCGTTGGGCTTAATACCGTAAAAAATGATTTATAATACTCATTAATAAACCCGTCCGGGCCCGGGGATTTATTATTTTTCAGTGCTTTGATTGCTGTTTATAATTCTTGTATCGAAAAGGTGGCTTCTAAACTTTCCCTATGTTCGTTGTCAAGTTTGGGTAGTTGCTCTAATTTGTTAAAAAAGACTTGCATGTCTTCCTCTTTAGGCCTAGATGTCGAATATAATTGACTATAAAAGGCTTCCAATGTCGTAAGGATATCTTTAGTGGAATATTGCATTTCCTTTTGTTCATTTCGAAGCCCTGAAATATGCCTCTCCGCTTGTTGTTTTTTCAGTCTCCACGATAAAAAATTTAATCTCTTTGATGACTTTGTAGTGTTATTTTTAAAATAGCTAAAATTTGTCTTAAAAATATTTGAAGTTTCTAACATTTCCAGCTGCTTTCGTACATTTTGCAGCCGTTGATATATTTTAGTACTGCATGTTAGTTTATGCTTGCTTTCTAGTATTTGAATTGTGTTTACTAATTCAGATTGTATTTTCTTTTTTCCCTTTTTATTCTGTGCTAACAATGACATACATTGTCCTCTTATATAGGCCTTTGAGGCTTCCCATACTGTAGTGTTAGAGACATCATTAGTTACATTATTTTTGAAAAATTCTTGAAGATGCCCTTGGAGAGATTGCTTAATTTTCGCTTCGTATAATAGAATTTTATTAAACTTCCAGTTATAATTCCTTTGCTGCTCTATAGCCATTTGAATTTTACAACAAACTGGGGCATGATCTGACCACAACTGATTCCCAATTGAGGTCGAAATGTTGTATCCTAACAAAGTTTTTGATAAAAATATATAGTCAATACGGGTATGCGTTCTAAATCTATTAGAGAAATACGTATAATCTCTTTCCTGTTGATGCTGGGTTCTCCAAATATCATTCAGTTCATATTTATTTACCAGTTGCTGAAATGACGTAGGAGTTTTACTTTTATGCTTAGTTGCATGAAAACGAGAGGCAGATGACTTGTCTATGTTAGGGTTTATCAAATAATTGAAATCCCCTCCCAGAATTATATGTCCTTTAGCAAAAATTTTGAGTTGTGCAAGGACCTTTTTCAAAAAACTTAATTGGTTAGAGTTAGGTGCATAAAGGGTAGCAAAGGTCAGCTGCATGTCATTTAGCACTCCATTTAAAAAAACAAATCTACCTTCCTCATCAATCAGCGTGTCCTCTAATTTAAATGTAAGGTCCTTGGCAATTACAATAGCTACCCCCCTCGACTTACTTGAACCCGGGGCTAATATTTGGGTTGGAAACCAGGCCGAGGGCAGTGCTCTTATGTCTTTTTTCTTAATATATGTCTCCTGTAAAAAGGCCACTTGAGTTCTTTGCCTCTGAAGTTCTTTTGCAATGCACTTGGCCTTAACATAATTATTTAAACCACGGCAGTTCAAAGAAATAACATTTAATTCAGCCATTAAATTTGTATCTATAATGCATATTACA